TTATTTTTATGTTCTGTCTATTAAATTATATAAAATAATAAAAGTGGATTATAACTCCAAATTAAAATAATATAGGTTTTTATATTTGCTTATGTATTTACCTTTACTGGGTAATTTTATATTTTTATATGGCTTCCAGTTACTGTCTGGTGTCCTTTTATTTCCACTTTAAGGGCATTATTGAAGGGCAAGTCTTGTAGTAAGGAACTCCCTGAGATTTTATTTATCTGAAAAATTCTCCCTTGTTTTTGAAGAATATTTTGTGAAGTATCAAATTCTCATCTGACAGTTGTTTTTTCTTTGAAAAGTTTTGTAATGTTTCTCACTTGGAATTTATTGAGCTTCTTGTATTTGGGTGTCCTTGGATAATTTTAGTCTTTATTTTTTCAAATAAGCTTTCTGATTTTCTCTCTCTTTTTCCATAATGCACAATTCCTTATGGCTCTCTTCACTTCTCTCCCCCACCCCACCCCACCCCACCCCACTTTTTTTTTTTTTTTTGCTTTTCAGACTTTTTTCCCCCCCTTAGATAAATTTTTATTGTTCATATTATTACAAATGTTCCTTTCCCCCCTTCCCACCCCACCCTCTGCCCTTTCCCCACCCCCCATTGTCCTCATCCATAGGTGCACAGTTTATGTTCAGTCTCTTCCCACATCCCCCTCTCCCCTTTTCCCTAAGAATCATCAGTTCACTCCCCTTCCATACCTCTGATTCTATTATATTCAACAGTTAATATTGTTCCTCAGGGTTTTTTTTTTGTTTTTTTTTTCATTTCCTTGGTTTTTAGATTCACTTGTGGATAGTTACGTATTTGTTGTTCATAATTTTTATCTTTATTTACTTTCTCTTCTGAAAAAATCCCTTTCAGCAATTCATATAATTCTGGTTTGGTGGTGATGAACTCCTTTAGCTTTTTTTTATTAGTGAAGCTCTTTATCTGACCTTCGAATCTGAGTGATAGCTTTGCTGGATAGATTATCTTTGTCTCAGGTTCTTACTATTCATCACCTTGAATATTTCTTGCCATTCCCGTCTGGCCTGCATGGTTTCTGTTGAGAAATCAGCTGACAATCGTATAGGTGCTCCTTTATAGGTGACTACCTGCTTAGCTCTTGCTTCTTTTAATATTCTCTCTTTGTCTTTTGCTCTTGGAATCTTAATTATGATTTGTCTTGGTGTGGTCATCTTTGGATTCCTTTTATTTGGAGTTCTGTGTGCTTCCTGGACTTGTAATTCCAATTCTTTCCCCAGGTGGGGGAAGTTTTCTGTCACTATTTCTTTCAGTATGTTTTCGGTATCTTGCTCTCTCTCATCTTCTCAGACTTGATAATTAAGGCATTCTCTCTCCAAGGTCACTGATTCTTTTTTTTTTTTGCCCATTAAAGTCTGCTGTTAAACACCTCTAGTGAAAACTTAAAATTCAGTGGTTGTGTTTTTCTTTTCTTTTTCTTTTTAGTTTACAATTTTTGTATCTTGAAGTTGATCTCTAGAGATTTATTTTGTTCCTTTAAATGGGCCTACAACTGGTCTCTTTGTATGCCTTGTAATCTGTTGATAATTTAACATTTGAAAAAATAGCCACACCTTTCAGTATTTGGGGACTTGGCCAATTGTCCCTTAGGACTGGCTGCAACCAAGATGGATGCTCAGCTATGCAGGGGCCTACCCCTTGGAGCAGGACTGACTTCAGCGGGGCTCTGGTGTCCCCTGAGTTTGCCCCTTGAGCGTATCATTTGTGGAGGTGGTTGGGCGGTACTTCATTGTGCTCTGAAGCTGTAAACTGGGTGCACTGGCTCTAGTGCAGTGGTTCTCCACCTTTCTAATGCCGCAACCCTTTCATGCAGCTCCTCATGTTGTGGGGACCCCCAACCATAACACTATTTTCGTTGCTACTTCAGACCTGTAATTTTGCTACTGTTATGAATCGTAATGTAAATATCTGTGTTTTCCAATGGTCTTAGGCGACCCTGCTAGTGGTTCCAACCCACAGGTTGAGAACTGCTGCTATAGAGCCATGGTGTCTTCTTTGTGTTAGAGTTCAAAAAATATTATTGATTTAATTTTCATTGTGATTTATGAGATGACATTTCATTTGTTTCAAAAATATTTAGAGCTTTGCAAAATATGGACCTCCTATATTTTCTTGTTTGCTTTGCCTTTTTATAATATTCGAAGGGAAAGCTGAAAGACATTTTATCTTCACTATATTTTTATTATAAAATAATCAGTTTTTAGGTCCATGAAAAGGGAAAAAAATACACAATTCAAAAGTGTACAAAATAAAACCTATAAGTTGTGTTCTATACTCTGCCCTTCCAATTTCTATTTCTCTGAAGTAGCCAGCATTAAATTTGCCATATACCTTCCTAAGACATTTTATCTTTATGAGTATACTGTATGCATATACCAAAACATTTTACAACTAGGTTGATTTTATAATTAATAGTTCTGTGATTTGCTATGTCATTCAATGTTACAGATATCTTTCCATGTTAGTGTCTGTAGACTGACCTCATTATTTTTAAAATTGTACCATCTTCTTACATTGATTAAATATAGCATACTTTTACCTCTCCCTTAAAATGGAAATTCAGTTTCCTGTTTTGTTCCTCCCTCCCCATTCCATTATAAGTATATCTGTAGGGTAAATTCCTTGAAATGGAATTATGGAGTCAAAGGGATAAGCTTATTTAAAATTTGGTAAGTATTACCTAATATCTTTTTGAAAGATTGTGGCAGTTTATTTCAGTTAGATTTGTGTGTGTATGCTACACATGCCTAGTATTGAACTTAGTCTTTATGGTAGTATTTATTTAAGGTGAAGGAAGATTCTTAAAACAGGAGAAATAACCTTCACCTCTGAGTTGTTTGTGAAATACTTAGAATAGTGCTGAAATACAGAAAGATCTATATAAATGTTTCTGTTGTAATTATTTTTGTTGGCTTAAGTTCATTGTATTGTATTATGAAAATTGAAAACCCTTGTAAATTTTTTTCACATGTCCATGATTTGAAAACTGTCACATCTGTTTTACATGACAATATACTACATTGTTCTTGTCATGAAATTCATCCTTGGATTTTTATCTTTAATTGTTCAAATCACTGTTTTTTATTTAGTTATTCTGAACGTAAAGGTTATATATGTAACACAAGGTCTGTTTTGACTGGCTCATCTTCACTGGCATTTTGTTAACAGTCTGTCAGTAAACATCATTTGCTCATTGTTTTTGTTATTGTGCTTTTATCTATCCAGTTAATAAAAAGTGATCATGAGTTGAGAGTGTTCATTGAAACATAAAAGTAATAATGAAAATGAGGTATATGACTCTTTTAAAGGTAAACAGTGAACTGGATTGCATGTAAATATAAAATATTCATACATATGTCCTTGGAGAAGTAAATGTGGTAACTTAGAAAGTATCCAAAAAGGGGCCAAAACCGGCTCAGTGGTAGAGCGTCGGTCTGCGGACTGAAAGGCCCCAGGTTCGATTCCGGTCAAGGGCATGAGCCTTGGTTGCGGGCACATTCCCAGTGGGGGGCGGTGCAGGAGGCAGCTGGTCGATGTTTCTCTCTCATTGATGTTTCTAGCTCTCTATCTCTCTCCCTTCCTCTCTGTAAAAAATCAATAAAATATATTAAAAAGAAAAAGAAGTATCCAAAAAGGGGAAGTACAAACAAAATATTTAATGAGTACTGAAATGATATTACCTTGATCTATCCATAGTTCTCTATGTATTTGATGATATGAAACACATTTATAGGCTGTTCCCATTCAAGTCTTTGTAATATTTTTCAACAAAACTATATTAAGCAAGTTGTTCCAGAATAACTTAATTCGCTAAATTTGGTTAATCATGTCATTAAATTCAGAGTAGAGATGAAAAGCATAGATGCCTCTTTCACAGGTGCACTGCTTGCACCAATAATACAAATCACATCATTCCTAAGAACTTTCTAAAACTAGCCATAATGGAAAAATGCTCTGAGAGGAAGCTGAGTGAACTATTGGCAAAATTCTTTATCAGTTCCCCTTTTAAATCTTACATTGCTAATGAAACAGTCACATCTATATATATAAAAGTCAAGCCACCTGAATGACTTATCGCTATGACTCTCACTGTGGCCAGCCAACTGGCCTGATCAGGGGTGGAGCTGGCCAGCTGACCTCCCACGGTCCCCTCCCCCCAACTGGCCCTGCTCTCGATTTACCCCCCTCCCCCCACTGGCCTGGCTCCCATTAGGCCCTGATCTGAGGCAGGGCTGGTTGGCCAATTTCCTGCGTTCCCTTCCCCCAGCTGATCCAGCCCCGATTGGCCCTGATTGTACGAATTCTTGCACTGGGCCCTTAGTATATTATAAAAAAAGGAATCACTTCTATGTATGACTGTCATCAGATAATACGCCTTGCATTTTGATGAAACTGCATTTAACATGGATTCATAATGGAAAAACTTAGGTTCTTATTTTCAGAAAACTTGTAGTTAATATGTATTATATTACCACTTATTTCAGGCTTTTTTCTAAAGTTCTTAATGATTATAGTTTCTATGGGGTTATATAAAAGTGTTAGGATATAACCAGTGGAAGAGAATAGCAGTACTCTAGAGGTTAAAACTGAGTGAACTGCTAATTTGTCTCTAGGATGTGTTCCTCAGTGGCTACTTTTGCTTATAGGCACATTGAAAAGCTCCCCACAGAAGTAACAAGTTTCCTCAGCCATGTTTAATTTTGTTTGTGGATGGGCTGTCCATTTCAGAAAGAGGTAAATTGAGAGTGAGTGCTATCTATACTCACGGTATCAAATAATCGCACCTGCATATCAGGAGGTTTAAGGTACTCGCTAAAAGCTGCATTGTTTCTGGATTTCTGGATGTTATGATAAAGATAAGTTTAAAAAGTAAATTTGTAAACCACATTAATAGTTCTATAAATATTTTTAACACTGAATTTGCCATATTTATTCAAAATATATTATTCTTGCCATTCTTTGACAGACCCCTTATCCCTCTGGACAGAATGCAGGCCCAACCACGTTGGTATACCCTCAAGCCCCTCAGACAATGAATTCGCAACCTCAAACCCGTTCTCCGGTAAGTAAGCAGAAGCTTGTTGTAGAAAGTAATTCTCCACCTAAGTTTGTGCTTGCAATAGCTTGGGTTCCTTTGGCTAATATTTTTACTTTGGGAAATTTGTCCCAAAGAGAATTTATTATCGTTGTTGTTGTTATTTTTATTATATTGGTTAGCATTAATTTTTCAGACTCTTTGCTATGTGAATGATTTCAATTTATTAAGAAAAAGAAAGAATGGAACTTTTTATCTTTTACTTTTCAGTGGCATGATTTTTTTTAAAAATTCCAGTTACATTCAAGTTTATTTCTGTTTTTAATTTGTTAGCTGTACTACTGTTCAAAATTCAGGAGAAGAGTAAGGCATCATATTTTAAAGTAAAATAAATTTCATTAATTAGACTCAAATTCCAGTTGTTTTGGAAGAGCTTCTGAATTAGTGTTATTAGATCAGTTCAAACCATTTGACAGTGTGGACATATGCATGACATCACCAACGGTGTATTCATTTTTTAAAAATGGTAAATAAATTGTACAAATGTAAATGCTGTTATCCTCCTTGCTCATCCTCTACATGGATTGCAATAAGTTTTGCAAAGATTGCAGATTTATTCAGGGTTCATCCTTTGCTTCACAAGAGAATACAGTAGTTTCCGCTGTCCATTCCTTAGAACGTCGTTTCCTGCCCTGCATGATCAGCTTTTGCTAGAAGGTGCTTTTGTAACATCTCACTCTGTATCTCTCATCCCTCCTTGTACCTCTGCTCTGTGTTTTTCTCCAGATACAGGGACCCTCTTTTGTTCCCCACCCTTGCTTTTTTGCTTGTAGTACAGGAATATTTCATTGCATTAGCTTCTATTCATTTAGTTTATGCATGCATTAATGCTGACATGTATGAAAGAATTGCTGAAATGTATGAAAGAATTGCTCAGAGAACTAGGGGAGCATAGTCTGACCAAAATGTAATCTCTTTCTTACTCTCTTCCTATTTTCCTTTTCCCTATTGCCCTCTTCTCCAATACCCATTCTTAGATCCTGGTTCTCCCCAGGGGGTGGAGGAACCATTCTAAAGAGGTGGGACTTTGGTCCTAGTTGCCTGTTTGCTTGTCTCTTTTTTATTTATTTTTTACTTATTTATTTTATTTATTTGCTGAAATGGTCAATAAGATGTCTGATGCAAGTTTTGTTCTGAAAGTGCTTTGGGGATGTGGACACTTGACTACTTGGAGTGGGCCTGAGATCTCACCAAATTAATTTAGGTAGACTTGGGTTCTGATCATGAAACATGGAACGTTATGGTAAGCTCTTATTGCAAAGAATTCCATGGCCCTCTTTACTTCTAGCCCCCTCTTGTGATATTGGGGGAAAAGATTTAAATTTACATGGTTAGAACTGGCGCAAAACCTGACTGAAGAGCTGCATCTCTAAACCAGTTTTTTTGACAGCCCAGCAGGACAGTGCCAGTGCATTGCTCAGACAACTGGAAGAGGAGGAAGGTTTTGGAACAGACTCCCGTTTACAGGTCCTTGGCTGGAAGAGGCTGGATAAAATACTGCATTGTAAGCAATATAACAAACTGTACTTCTTGCAGGCAGTGGTGCCTCTGGCACTCATTATTTTTGACCACATCCATTTATTGGCTGATTAACGGAAATACATTGATTGCTTCCTCTTGAAAGTCTAACTCCGCATGGCAGTTTCTGCCAGGCACAGGGGGGAAAAGAATAACAAATTGGGTGGGTCTTCTCTATTGGGAATTAGACAGGAATAATTTGGAGTTTAGATTTTTCTTTATTTTAAACTTGAAGAGGGATATCCCTTTCATATAAATTTTATTTTAAAAGACAAAATTTAAGGCTTCTTTTTTCCCTCTTTCCATTTTATAATCAAATATCAATGGGGAAATTGTCTGTAGTTGTCAGCCATTTTTCTGTGGTCATAAACTCTTCAAATACTGTCCTCTATGCAGTTTTTGCCATCCGCTCTGCTAGTGACCATTACCACCTACATTACTAAAAACCACACCCATAACATCCCATTACATATACCCCAAAACAAGTGCAAGACTAGCAGACCCCAGACTACTCTTGCTTGTTGTTTTGGGTCCAGTTTTCTTTATTTCATTTGTGTTGGTTGCTGGGAGGGTGAAGTCTGGGATATGAAATTTGGCAGGATTGCATTTTCTTTTTACATCCCAAGTTGCCATAGTCTAGTCTCATCCATCCCACAGCTGTCCCAACTGGTGAGGAGAGGTAAGCTGTTGCACCAAAGAAGGGACCCTTCCTGTGGCTTTGCAGAGCAGCTAAAGCTTACTCCATTCTATTTCTGCATTAATGGGCCATTGGCAATTGCACGGTTTAGGCTTCTCTGTTCTTCCCTGGACAGCTGCCTTTGCAATCCAACTGGCTTCAAGGCCCGCCCCTCCTCCCTCCTTCAGGTTACCTTTGTGCCTGTATTTCTATTTGATACTTCTTAGTATCTTAGTTAAATTCATATTGTTGATTATCTTGTTTAAAAGTAAAACAATATGGATAAGCTACTTATCTGTTCCATTTTCTGGTTGTACTGGAACTCTTTAAATAGTAGTTTACTTTCAAATAGCCTCCAAAATAGTGAAGCTATGGAATGCTTAATCGGGAGAGGTGGACAGTTTGGCTTTTGCAGTAACCTGTTACTTTGGTTATTTTGACATTTTGTGCCAAAGTTACATCGGTGTTATGTTTTCTATGCCCAGTTACCAACTGTGCACAGAAGAGTTAGTGAGTGGGTGGGTGGTGGGTGGCATTAACATTGGATTCCGGTTCACAGAAGGCTGCTTTTCTTAATATATACAGTCCTCGCCATCTTAAAGACCCCTCTGAAAAAAAAGAAAAAAAAGAAACCAAAGTTTCTCTCTTTAATATGAGCCAGCAGCGACTACAGTTTGTTCTGTTGCTTACAGTAACCCATAGGATTAAGACTATTGTCATTTCAAATGAAAAATTCAATAGCCAATGGTGACTAGTGCAAAATAGACTAGGGTACTTTCCCACTAACTTAAGTTATGTTTTAAAAAAATATATATGTATAATTCAATAAGGTACTCCTCTTGTTCATAGAAAGTTCTCTTTTGACTAGAACTTTTGAATTATATAAAGTTTCAACCTTTATTTTAGAGTCTTAGAAATGGGACCTTTCTGTGGAACAGTGATAAGACAGGTACTGCTGAACTCAGGTCAATTGTTTAACATGGTCCTTCCCTCCTGTTTTCTTCCAAAGTGTCATTAAGAAACATCTCACTTCCATTCCCTACTTTCATACCACATGGGTGGTATTGCCTATTCTTGAAACTTTATGTTCATAGTTGAGGTATGATCTGTTTTCTTTTCATCATCGGAAAACAAATTATAGACCTCAGTTTCTTTGAAGAGAAAATGCTCTGCAAGAACTATAACTGCCATTATCATCATTCAAAAAAACGATGGTTTGTAAATATAATGGATTACCTAACACACTCTAATCATATGTCATAGAGAACTCATCGAGTTATGCTGAATAACTTTAGAATGTGTTACGGCACTTGTCATTATCTGAACAATAGGTGACATTTTAATTTCTTTGGTGAATTCTTGATAGAGGTATCTTCAGTTGTCTCCTACATTGTGGCATGTACTTCTCTAGAATTTTTTGAATATTTTTATACGAAATAAAGACAGTTAGGAAAATAATTCCAAATCTCTTGCAAATACTTTTCCAGATAACTAAATTCTGGGTGTGAATTTTCAGTCCAATTCACCTATAATGATGAGCTGATAGAGGAAGGTTATATAGGAAATAAAACAACTGAAGAAATATATTTCACTCCTTAAATGTATTAAATAAAAATCCTGTATGGTTTGCATTCAAAACTGCTTTCTAGGTATTTTCTTTTCACTATTAAAGAGGGTGGTTAACATCTCAATAGTTAATATATTATTCGTCAGTACATGACAATATGTACCCGAATATTTTTCTGTTCTTTTTAATAAAAATCACTTTAGAAGCCCAGTTTTGTTCTGATGAAGAATTATTTTATTATAGAGATTTAGTATTTAAATTTTTATGGGTGACTAAGCTTTTTTTTCCATTCTAAGCTAGGAAGAGTAGGAGTTGAAGCACGTATTATCTGCTTTTAAGTACTCTGAGTTGGCTGAGAAGTTCTGTTCTTTTTTGCATTTATTCTCAGTATCTGATAGCAGTGGGTACATATGTACAGTGTTGTGCTGTTGCATATAAATAGTGAGAGATTTGACTTTTTACTCCTTTTTCTTCTTGAGCTTATAATAGTACAACTTCATCATGTTGGAGAGTGATGTTCTTCACTAGCTGTGTGCTTTAATATGCCTGGTATTAAACTTTACTAGTTAACTGCACTTAAACATATAATTACTTACATATTTAAATATATATTTATAAGCTATAAATATATATTTAATATAATGTATAAATAAAATGTTATTCTTTAACTCCCATGAAATAAAGAAAGATAGTAAAGTTTCCATTTCATGTGTGAGATATCCCATTTAACTTGAGTAAATTTGACATCAGTCCTATTACATTTTTTATTTCTTGTTGGACAGTATAATTACCCCCTGGCTATTTCTTATAATGTAAAAGCATTTCTCATTCCCTCTAACTATGTCAGTTGCATACGCACACTTGACTTTTCATACAGTTGTTTTAATATAACCACTTAGTGTTTCAATTATTTTTAATTTTAGATTAAAAAATATATATTCCTATCAGAGAAGCAGCCCTACCTGTGCCTAACAGCTTAGCTGTTTCTCTCCCAGCTGGTAGATGGCAAACTATTTCTAGTAGTGGTGTGAACCTGTTGAATCTTAGTACCTGTCTGTCACTGTCCTGCAGCAAAGCTTTGACTGTTTGTGTTCTTTTTTTTCTTGTGGGTTGTTTTTCTTTTGGCATATTGTGTGACATTTTGGTTTTTGTTGTGTTTCTGACTCTTTGTGCCTTTCCTTTTGTGTTTGTTTTCCCTCCTTTTCT